ATCCATTCAACACAGGCGTTGACCATGTGAATCTGGTAACCCAACAGGCTGGGCGTCCTTGGGCTTTCTGAACAGAAATACCGAGACATTTTTCAGGTTCAGCTTCAAAAGTCAAACTGCAGCGTCCTGTGTGGTGTGTGTGTTGTGTGTGTGTGTCGTTGTGTGTGTGTGTCTTACTGCATTTCCCCCTGTAGATTTCTCTGAACACAGTTGTGATAATAGTCAGCAGCACCACACACAGCAGAGCCAGCCACAGCACCCTGAACACACACCGCCACTCATCTGGAGGATAAAGGCGGGTTCAAGCAGACAGAAAAGGTCTGCAGCAATTACTATTTTCATTAAACAATACATTTGTGACTCTATACAATGCCAAAAAAAGCAGAAAAGATGTCACAATTATGAAAAGAATTCTTCAAATTGTTTGTTTTGTCAGGTATTTGGAATTAATGCTGACTGTTCAGTTGTCTGATCAGTTAATTAATCAACTAAATGTTTCAGCTAAAAAATAAAATCTTTTAAGTCTTCTCATTGTGAGAAGTGTACATAATAACTAAATTCTTATCTAAAAAGAGATACAGTGTAATTGGTGATTAAAGAGAAGAAAATAAACTGAGGAAATAAATCTAACCAGAGAGAAGAAACACCAGAGGCAGAAATGACACAAAAGAGAAATAATAGCAGGAGTCAAAAGATAAAGCCACAAATATGACCAGGAAAAAGAAACAGAAAGGGAGGGTATGGAAAAGTTTGGTGGAAATTGGACAGAAAAATTAAAGTGAGATGGATATCCAGCTTTCAACACACACTGGAAAATATGACTTGAGTCGTAGCTGTAAGCTTGGGGGAGTGTTGGAGAGCTGAATAGCAGGAAAGAACGCCAAAATCAATGCAGTCTTGGAGATACAGTAGATTAAGACAAACTGTAACTCTCGGCTCTTGGATCACACGGCACAGACAGAGGAAGGGAAACAAAGTCACAGAGCTGAGTCTGGAGTCACGAGAAGAAGAACTGAAGGAAATGTGTTCTATTGAAAAAAATGGCTCCACTGTGGACTGAGATTGAATCAATTTCAGCTCAAATGAAAACTGATTGGCCAACTTCTTGGTCTTTTATTGTCTCCTCTCCTCTCCAATCTTGAAGTGAAGCCACACTGACCACTCAGGGAACAAAAGAAAGCACTACTCTCTCATCCCGGCACCAACCTTTCTCTGTCCGTTTCCATGGCAGCTTTTCCTTTGCTGTTGCAGTCCAAACTGTTTGATTGGAGAGCCAAAGGAGACATCGGCTTTGATTGGCTGATTCTGGGGTGGGCGGGACAGGGAGACAGCAGTAAAATGCCTTCCCCTGTCCTTCATCACCCTTCTTCTCCTCCTCCTCTTCCTCTTCCTCCTCAGGTGGGTGGAGGTGCAAGGAGCTGTGATCACTGTAGCCGTACAAGGTGAGATTCGAGGTTTCTGTATCTCTGAGTTGAAGCTCCACTGACACCTTGAAATGTACCTTTAAAGCTATAGATAGATAGATAGATAGATTAGCTAGTGGACCCTTGAGCGTAGGCTGTTAGTGTACCTTGTAATTGATCATGTCATGAGGTGGGGTTGCAGTATACAACCATTCTAGCAGCTCTGAGACTATTTAGATACACTGACAATGGTTTAAGCACAGTAATGCTTAGAGCCTAATGTCAAAGTCAGCGTGCGTAACCTGTCAAGCGACAACTAAACCCATGCTCCACTGACATTTAGTGGTAGCATGCATCATACATTTTGCGCGTATTAGCACGAGGGATGGGGTTCGTGTATCATAATTATCAGGTTTCAAATAGAAAATCCACTTCCAACTTCAAATATCTTTGTTAGCTAAGACAAGCAGGAAAACACTACAGTTTTTTAGTGGCAGCCTAATTAGTGTTCACAACCTAAAACATGAACATTGAAGTAAGCAGTATAATACAGGCTATAAAATGTTTATTAACTGACATTAAATCAACAGCTGTAGCCTCCTGTACTTCACCAGCTCTGCTTCTATACTTCAAATAACGAAGGTCCTGATTCAGTAGGTCATATTAAGATTTTGATGATATGAATCAAAGTTTAACTTGATTCATATTCATACTTGGCGAAAATCAGGAATCATCAATCAACCTGAAGAACAGTCAGGGGGATTACCGAGGTCATTAGGATTCATCCTCTGTGGACAATTCATTAAAATCCATCCAATACATATTTCAGTCTGGACTTTCATGGCTAAAAACAACAAAAGCTTATCTTTGAAAAATGTGCAATACCTGAAGATGAGATGTTTCTGTGTAACTCTTCCATGTCCAAATCCGTTTCACAGATGAACCACTTCCTTTCTGGGTCTGATGCAGGATCTGTCATGTTGCTTCGACCCTGTTGTGTGCAGGTCTTCTCCCACTGATCGACTTCTGGAGTCTGTAAAGGGTCACACATATCCTTTCTCCTAGTTTCAGCATCCCCAGTCTGCCCATTTCCCCCTGTCTTCACCTGATTTCCTCGCTCACAGGGTCGGTAGGGCAGACAGAGGAAGTTAACGTTTGATGCTGAGGGAGAAAGAGAATGGACAACAGAAAATTCACAAGGATTTCTCAGCAGAAAAAAGGCAAAAAAAAGTCAGAAATCAGAGGAAGATCTCAAAATGTGAGCAGTTGCCTCCAGTTTATATCTGATAGACAAAGACAGACACAGACAAAGAGCAAAACTATTGAAGGTGAACATGTGCACATAGTACAAAGGCAAGTTGCTCTCAAAAAGAGAAGTTTTTCAAGGCAATACGGAAACGTTTTGAAAGCAGCTGTCAGTCAGCGTTGTATGCAGCTATATTTGGGAGTGACTTTTAGCTCAAGGCAGAGAGAAAAAGGTTGAATTAGAGAGTCTACATGAAGAGGAAGAAACAGGACAAAGTGACTCAACAACATAAAGTTGGCTTCTTTTAAAGGGTGAGGTTTGATATAAAGTCAGGAAAACTGAGCCAAAGCACAGCTACGGTTCTTCCATTTTAAAGCATCAAAATGTTGTCAACTGATAGTGATAAAACACACACACACACACACACACACACACACACAATCCATCCACAGCTGCCTGGATGACCTACCTTCATACAATGTGAAGAATTCTGGGAGGCAGATGATAAAGGCGAGGATCACGAGAATGAGAAGTTTAGTCACTGCTGTTCTTGTCATGGTTGCACTATAAGATCACACACACACGCACACTTCTTCACGCTGCTACAGGCATGACCTGTGGCTCGTGGTATACCCGCTTCCTTTTTTTGAAACAAACACATTGATTCACACCCTGTCCCTGCCCATCAGAGAATCCGTTTGCTAGAGTCCAGTTGCCCTCATTATATTTCTCAAAGATTCTTGTAGATGCAGGCGACAACGCAACATGACACATGTGCACAAAATGAAGCAACTTCCTATTACACTTCCTGTCATTTCCTCAAAACAAGTGAGAAATGGAGAGTTGCAGACACAGCAGAGAGATTCTCACAGCAGAACGTAAGTAGAAATGTTTTGTTTCTGTCTGGGCATGGAGCTGCATGGGAGATAGTGTTATGGTGCCTCTCTGAAGAAGAGATAAATAGACTTTATTAGTGTGAACAGCAATACAAAGACAGATGATCAGTCATGTATTATTTACTGTATGTGTGGTGTGTGTCTGTAAAGAGAGATCAGCCTGTGGTTTAAATCTGTTCGTAAAAACAAAGAGATGTTTCTTTGTTACCTCTACGAGATAAAAAAGAAGGAAACCAGGATTATCTGTGGTAGGTTGTACTTAATGTTTCAGTTGCTCAATGAGGAGAGAAACTCCCCTCAGACCTCTCCATTTCCACTATTCCTTCTCTCATTGTGTGTTTTTTCTTATAGTTATGAGAAAACTTTAAATAATTGTGAGTCTGTATATAACAATGGTCTGATAATTATAACTTTGTATCTCAAAATGGTTCCTCATGAGACACAAAATAAATGTAATCTTATGAGAATGTTTCTCATAATTATAAGATGATAACTAAGGTTTTCATGACTTTGTATCCCATAATTATGGGAAATAATTGTGAGATACCAAATAATAGATAAAACATAACAAGAACATTTTGTTTCTCTAATTATGCCTAGTATTATATCATTATCTCATCATGTTGAGATCATAACTATGACTGTGTATCTTAATTTGTGATGTTTTCTCATAATTATGAGATCATCAGTCAGTTTCTCATAATTGTGTGATAATAATTATGACTTTGTATCTCAGAATTACAAAATACTATCTCATAATTGATCATTTTCCCTCAAAATCTTAATCATAGATAAATAAATCATACATATGAGAACGTTTCTCATAATTATAACTTAGTATCAGATGATTATTATGTACAATCATTTTGTGGTCTCATAATTATGAGAAATTAAATCATCAGATACTTTATAGGTATTAAAAGGCACAATTATGACATGTCAGGTCATAATTATATGATAGTAGGTCATAATTATAAGAACCTTTCTCATAATTTTGTCAGGGACGTTTGTCTTGTAAATGGGCTTCCCCAGACCTCAGGCCAGCTGCCAGTCATTTAATGAATGTTACCACACAGTAGAGAGCTGATAAGTGTTTCTATTGCTGCTTTATAGGAAATTACCTTTCTGTTTACCTTTTTTTTTATATATATTTCAGTCTATTCTGAAAAAAAAATATGTATTTTTCCTTTGTACTGTTTGACTCGATCTCTGTAGGGTGTTTAGTGTAGCTCAGATTTTACGGTTTGGTTCCTGAGAGCCACTTATCTTGGCAGACCTGGGATAGGAACACACACACACACACACACACACACACACACACACACACGCACACACACAGGATCAGACAAACACA